GTTTAAAACTCAAGTAATGTGTTTTCCTCTTGTAATCTTCAAAAGTTCTCACTGGTTGAGTTGTCCTAAAAACTACCCTTCCAGTCCTGATCCCACATAATTTGTCTGTTCCAGACAAAAATAGGGCCTACAATGCCCCAAAATTCTGCTGCTGACTAGTAACAGAGTAAAATTGTCATGATCCTGTTTTCTATACCTCTATAAGCAATTATATTTTACTGTAGCAAAGTGAACTCTTACTTTTTGATTCTATTAAGTCAGCAAACTGATTTTGTGAGTCCTGCAGCTGAGCCTTGATGTCTTCTCCTATTAAATCATCTTTTTCATCACTCTTTATGGTTAGAGCTGAAATCAAACAGAATAAGAATAACATGATAATAAAGGAAAAAGGACAGATTCTACTTTCATTTGTCCCTGTGTCTAATAAGCAGAATTCAAGTTAAATAAAGTGGCTGGTCTTAGCCAAATATTGATCAAGTCTTGGGAAAGTTCTCCAAAATCAAAACACAAATTCCAACAGAATTAACAGCAGAATTGAAGAGCATTTATGTTTGCTGGACTTCTCTGTGAAGTGACCACAGAAATCTCAAAGTAATGCTTCTAAAAGAGAGAAAAACCCATAATATGTGTCACAGGAATGCACAAACTTCCTGGGCCTGAGGATTAACAATGTAGTGACCTTTACAATAAAACAGTTAAACATACCTGTTCATGCCAGCACTGTTGTCAGCACAAAAAATGCTTCATAAAAATAAATTTGGATTACTTACTCATCTTCCAGTTTTAAAGTGAGTTTTTCATGTTCAAACTAATTTCAAAGTGAACAAATAGGGAACTACATAGTTATTGAAAAATATCCTAGAAATACACTTTTGTTTCTCAAGTCTTGCATGGAAAAGTATTTCTGTTCATCAGAAGACAGAAGTCTGTTTTATCTGGTATTCCATGCTGAGTCATCTTTTGCAGGAAAGGAAGAATAAAAATCAATAATTTACCAGCAACTGAAACACTTGCAGTTTCTTCATCCACACATTCACACAGGACAGGTGCACACCCCTGCTCAGAATAATCATTTTCTCAATGCAAAAATCAACATGCAACATTCTTTAGTATTTAATTGTATTAGTAATATTGTCATGCTAAATTGAGAAGCATTTTCTCTTTGCTTCATCTGTTCAGTGTATATTGTACTATCCTGTCCTGCAGTTCTTGAATGTCTTTATGCTGTGTTTCAATAACCTTTCTATTTTCCTGCACTTTCTTTCTGGTTTAGTTCTGATTCCACAGCCAATTTCCACTGCTTGATCTTTTCAGTCTCTTTGTAGAGTTTCGAGTACAATTCATTCATTATTTCTACACTCGATTAAAACAAGTTCCACAATTTAATCTCAAATGCTGTTTAGTTCATAATGTTATAAATACCTGTTTATCTCTTCAAAACATCACAAGAGTAAATTCTTTTCCACAGAGGATGGAACATGATTAGGAACATGATTTGTACACGATTAAGAACCAAAGTTTGACTCTTGGTGCAGCTGCTGTGTTTGAAGGAACAGACATTGCGGGACAAGGAGGAGACAAACATAAGAGGAAAATCCTCCAGTGCCTTCAGCCATGGCCAGAGAGAAGTGAAATCCAAAATCAGCAGGGCTGGGACAGGCTCTGGTTCAGGTGTGATGTCCCCACTCCCCCTGGGCTTGGCTGCACCACACGAACGCTGCAGTCCTGGCTGGACTTCAGGAGCTGCCAGGACTAACGTTTAGTCCTCAGGGATATGAAAATCAGGAGGAGAATGGCAAGAAATCAGTTCCTTTTTGTAGCAGCAAACAGCATTTTGTATCTGGGAAACACAGAAGTGCTGAAAAGAATGAGCTTTGCTGAGTTGTAGTGAAGCAGTTGGTGAAGACAATGTGAGAAGAATTAAATTCTGGAGAAACCACTCCACTAAATGTGTTGTTTATAGATAATGCCAGACAGTGCAACTGGGATAATCTATTTCATTTTTCCAAAGAATACTTCGGCTTCAATCCTTCTACCTTTCAACAGACTATTCAAAACCAATTTCACAAAGATATTTAAGTGCCTAAATCTTATTCTGATTAAAACTTACAGTTCTCCCAGGCACTTTAAAAGAAAAACAAAACAAACAAACAAAACCAAACCACAAACAAACAAAAACCCAAATAAATAGAAACAAAAGGAAAAATAATCAAAACAAAACCAAAAACGAACAAAAAAAAAGAAACCAACTACAAACTTGGAATCACCATAATTTTTAAAGTTTTGTCTCTAGGCATGTTCTTTGAATCACAAATGTCTCCTCTAAGTAATTCAGCTGTAAACAGGAAACAGAGAATTATTATTCTCCTTTGCCTTCTTATTTAGCCTTGAAATATCCACTGAATAATACTTGAGGAACTGTTTGTGAACAAATTAAGAGGCCCTAAGAATTTAGATTAAGCAGAGTTGATGCATAGCTGACTTCTTCTACTTAAGAGCTGTTTTACTTGCTGTGAAATAGTATCTGAACTATGAAGTGATTTTGATTAACATATTTTTTTAAAAAACTAACAGTGAAACCGTATTTAACATTTACAGCTACTAAACTGTTAGAACACTCATTAATATTAAAACCCGACAATATTTTAAAATGTTAAAGAATGTGCAAGGTAAAATATATTTTCGTTTTACCTGAATCAGTGATTTTGCACAGTACAGGGACTGAATGGCAAATTAAAATCATCACCTGGGCATTTGTTAAACTCCTGCACAAACGTAAAAGTTAGTTTCCTATGGGTAGATTTGTAGAGGATTATAAAATCCAGAATTAAAAAAAACTACAGCTAACATGAAATTACATTTTTTAATTCATAAATCAACTGCCTTCAATATTTGAAATTACCAAAATTGGTAATGGCTTTGGAACTTGCTTGCTTTGTATTTCACAGTGGCTTTTCAAACCACTGGTGTTTTGTAGTTTACTTTTTAGGCTGTGGCCAGAGTGGAAGGTTCTGATGAGGAGAATTCATCAGCTGCTGTCTGTCTGTGCACAGGTGCATGATAAAGGATTCAAGAAGCAAAAATATTTCTTTAAAGTCCAGTAGTTGATATTTATTTTTTTCTTTACCCCCATGGGTAATTTTAAACACCACATCTGACTATGTTTTAGTATGAAAATGCCATTTTACAAGGTTTTCAAGTCACAAAAAAATAGGATAAATAATGTAACTCATCTCCTGTCAGAATATCTCATTTGAATCTAAATATATTCCTTAAGGAACCTCAACATGAAACAATAATTTGTTTAATTCACATAACTCAGTGTGGTGACAGAACGTTTTCACTGCACATTTGGTCTGGTGTAAGCAGGACTTCAAAGCCAGTGCAAGCATCCCACTGCTCACTGCTGGATCACCCACATCAAACATGGATTTAGCATCGGTGATGTGCAGTTACAACAAAGCGCAGATGATCGAAAAGATGATTTCCTTCAGTCTTGATAGAGAATAACAGCAGAAGTCTTTGAAATTAAAGATGTTCCTTCCAGCACCAATCTTGGCAGTCTGCAGAGAAAATACTTCAGCAAATTTCACACATAGAACCACAGAATGGGTTGGGTTGGAAGGGACCTTGAAGCTCATCCAGTGCCACCCCCCTGCCATGGGCAGGGACACTTTCTGCTATCCCAGCTTGCTCTAAGTCTGGTCCAACCTGGCCGTGAACAGGCTGAGATGTGTGTGCTTGGCTCAGGACTGTGCCAGGGGCTCCCATCAGTGCCCCCATGTCCCTGTGGGTGTCCCCGGCCCATTGTGGCCAGGCTGGGGGTGGTCAGTGACCCCTCTGACCTGGCACAGCCTCGCTGACCGAGCGCTCACCGGCTTTGGCCGCGGGCCCTGCCCGGCGCTCGGGCGCGGCTGCACGAGCCGTTTGATCGGGCTTTTCTTGGTGGGCCTAGGGAAAATAGTGACACTGACACTCGGCACCGACATCGCCACTGGTACCGATACTAGGACCGAATGACACCGGCACCAACACTGATAGCAACACCAACACTGGTACTGACACTGACACTGACACCAGCAGCGACAACCAGCACCGGCACTGGCACCAACATCAGCACCAGCGCTGACAGCGGCACTGAGCATGGCATCCAAAATGATACCGGCACCAGCACTGGCACCAACATCAGCACCAGCGCTGACAGCGGCACTGAGCATGGCACCCAAACCAATACTGGCACCAACACTGGTACCGACATCAGCACCTGCACTGACAGCAGCGCTGAGCATAACACCCAAGCCAATACTGGCACCAGCATCGGTACTGATATCAGCATCAGCACTGACAGCAGTGCTGAGCATGGCACCCAAACCTATACTGGCACCAGCACTGGCACCGACATCAGCACCAGCGCTGACAGCGGCACTGAGCATGGCATCCAAAATGATACCGGCACCAGCACTGGCACCGACATCAGCACCAGCGCTGACAGTGGCACTGAGCATGGCACCCAAACTGATACCAGCACCAGCACTGGCACCGACATCAGCACCAGTGCTGACAGCAGCGCTGAGCATAGCATCCAAACCAATACTGGCACCAGCACCGGTACTGATATCAGCATCAGCACTGACAACAGTGCTGAGCATGGCACCCAAACCGATACCGGCACCAGCACCGGCGCTGGCACCGACATCGACACTTGTACCAACAGCGGCATCTTGTACCGCCACCACCTACACCGGCAGCAACGCCAGCACCGACATCGACACCAGCACTAACAGCGGCACTAAGCGTGGCACCCAAACCGATGCCAGCACCGGCACTGGTACCGACACCAACACTTGTACCGACAGCGACATCGCCACCACCACCCGCACCGGCAGCGACAGCGGCACCGGCACCTCAGGGCGGCCGCTGAGGGAGGGCGAAAAGGGCGGGAAACGACGGCGCGCGCCCGAGGCGGGAAGGGGCGCGCGGGCCGGCGGCCTTGGCGCCGCCTAGTGGAGGTCCCAGAGGTCGCGCAGCGGCGCGGCCAGGCGCGGGTCCCGCGCGCGCAGCGCCCCCGCGTGGGCGTGGCGGAGCGAGCGCAGCTCCGTGAGGCGCCCCAGCAGCCGCGCGAAGCGCTGCGGGTCCCGCGGGTGCTGCAGCTTCGAGTGCTTGTACAGGATCCCCAGCAGCGGCTCCTGCAGCTCCTCCACGTGGCGCTTGTCCCTCAGCAGCGGGCGGTCTGCGGGAGAGCGGCGGCACGGAGAGAGCGGTGAGCGGGATGCTCGGGGCGCCGCCGCCCCGCAGGGTCCGGTCGGCGCCGCCGCCCCTGAGGGGACAAATGAGAGCTCACCCGGGGCGAGTGACAGCTTGTTGTCACCTTCCCAACTTACCTGAAAAGAACACTGTTGTTGCTACGAGCAGAGCGTATTCGGTCTCGGTCACTTTGAGTTCCCCCATGGTTCTGTAGAAGTAGAACAGGGCGGTGATGAACTCCTCAGTTATGCCTGGGAAATGGAAAAAACCCGACATTTTTTGCTTAAACAACAACAACAACAACAACAACAAACCCCCCAACAAACATGCAGAATAACGAGGATGTTATTTCAGCGCAGAAAGAGTTGCAAATGCTCTTTGCCCGAAGGGTGCAGGTGACCCTCCCTGATTCATGGGGTCACCGTGCCCGGCTCTGGGCCCCCCGGGACAAGGGACACGGAGCTCCTGCTGCAGGTCCAGCCGAGGCTGGGGAGCTCCTCAGGGGGCTGGGGCAGCTCTTTTGGAGGAAATGGGGAACGGTTGGACTCTGTGATCCTAGAGGGCTTTTCCAAGATAAGTGATTCCATGATTCTGTGAAAGGCTGAGGGAGCTGGGCTGTCGGCTCCAGAGGATTCCCAGCTGAGAGGGGCCCTCAGGCCTGGGTGTCCCTGTCTGCAGGGACCAGCAATGGCACCAGGCAGGAACTGATGCTCAGGATGTTCCACATGACAAAAAACTTTCCTGTGAGGGAACAGATTGCCCAGAAAGGGTGTGGAGTCTCTCTAATTGGAGATATTCCAGACCCATCTGGAGATGAGCTGGTGCCATGTGCTCTGGGATGACCCTGCTGGAGCAGGGAGGTGGCTCCAGGTGACCCACTGTGATCCCTTCCAACCTCACTCATTCCATGATTCTGTGATTCTGTGAATCTTTTTGGGGCTGTTCCATTGCATGAAATAGTTAACTAACTTTGTGAAAACAATGTTAATTGCTAAAATAATAACAAAAGTTGCATGGCAGTTCTACCGTGGAGCTTTGAATTTATATATTACTCAAAAGATATAAGCAAGCATGAAGACACCTCTTCTGCCATGAGGATGTCATGCCAGTGTGTAATACCTGAGTAGGTAATGCCAGAGAAGCTCAAAGGAGAGAGAGAGGAAAAGGAAAGGGAGAGGGAGACAAGGAGCTGGAACAGTGGCCATAAGGACAATGTAGCTCAGTGTAAGAAAAATAGGGCCAGTAAAGAAAAAAATTCACAGTGTTTACATTCTGAGACCTCCATTACCTGTGGTAGTAGTAGAAGTTGGTCTCTCTTTATTATGACACATTTCCATGGAATAAATATTGTTTTTATCAAGGTTTTGAACATGACAACATGTCCCGTGATCAGAAAGTCTTACATGACCTGGAACAAGGCAGATGACAGTTCCCAGTCAAGATTAAAGTGATCTTAAATATTTGTCTGTATCATTGCTGAAAATGTGTGACTTTTTTCCAGACCCACAAAGGTATAAAATCCTTTTTGGCATCTGGATCCAAGTTCTTTGCTTGTGTTTTTATTGGTCAAGGTCTCTTGTGTTAAATGTGACACAATGCATAATATGTAATTAATATAGCTGATATCATCCCCTCACCCCACAATGATGCAAGTCAGCTATTTCAGACCTACTTTCACTGGTTGATGGCTGGCACTCGCTCATTCTTTGGTTGTAAATTTGGGCTGATCTCAAGAACATCGCCTCCACTGTGGACCCTTTCAGCAGAGCAATCTGGTCCTCACTGGCTAAACTCTCAAACCCTGCAGAGAAAAGTGCATGTTCAGGATCAGGGAAGGCTGGGGCTGCCTTTAAGCTCCCAATATCATGTGAAAAAGATTATTTTTTAAAAAAAATTAATATCTTTACTGGAAAGAGGGAGCCATAGTTAAATGATGCATGTACCAAAGACTTGGGATCTTTCTTGCTAGTTTGCAGGTTAGTCAATTAAAAAGAAAAAAAAAAAAAAAAGAGGGAGCAGTTTTCAGTGTTAAAAGATTCACAGGAAGACAGAAGTAAAAAATCTGGGACTAAACAAGGGGTTATGAAAACATTTTTCCTAATATCTGATAAATATAGGCCTAACACCTGATAAATTTGCTGCATTGTTTTGTGACTGTGGATAGTCCATTAATTGTTACATTAGTTTCTTTTTAGAAATTGCGTTCCTCTTTTGACAAGCTCATTGTCTGCACTTGTAATTCAAGAGCAAAGGAACTCTGGTGATTTTTTTCTTAAAACTGATCAAAGCAGGATATGTAACACAAGAAAACAGACAGCTCACCCCTTCCTTCAGCTCTGCCCCACAGAGATGCTAAATTACATCAAATACCTGCTTTAGATATGGTGATTGACCTTTGTCAGAGTTTTACAAAGAAAAGTTATCACCCTCCCTGTCAAATGTTACTTTGTCAACTTTACACTGAAACTGAGTGAATTTAATTGCATGTTCCCTCGTTCTTTATGAAAGAAAAATATGAATAAGAACACCTGGTTGGTCCCTTCTGTGCTGCCTTTTCCTTTGAAGAAACATCTGGTTTTTCCTTTGGTGACTATGATAAATTGTAGACTCAGATTGGATTTCAGAGAATGTGGGGAGATAGTAATTCCTTCAAGGTTGTATTTTGAAGTCCACGTGCTTCCAGAAAATGTCTCTACTCCATGTCAGAAATGGAGAAGAAATCTAATCATAGCAAAGTTTTGAACTGAAAGCTTCTAGGTTGTCCTCATGACACATAAATGGCAAGTTAGAAGTACAAATAATCAGTTTAAAGCCTTTTCTTAAAGTCTGTATTTTTCTCTGGTTCATGCCATCAGTTTGATTTGGTTCCTCTAATGTTCCCCAAAGGAAGGAACTCACCTGGGAGTCTTTTTGTGAAATCCACCAACACCTGGACATGGACAACGGCTGTCTCAGACAGGTGGAGGAAACTTTCCTCAGGACTTGCAGTTTCCTGTAGCTGCAAAGGAGTATTTACACATTGGATATAGCCAAGATAGAGTACAACAGTGACTCAGCAATGCAGGCTGGGTGTGCTGGATACCTACAAACTTCCTGGCTTCCTCAAGAGGAATTGTGTATTTTTGGTGTGCTGCTACGATGTGGTCAAGAAGCTGATGTTCTCCTGGAGTAAGTTCCATCTTCTCTGGGACCTGCTAAAAAAATAAACCAATCGAGTCACAATGACTTGGACTAAGAGTAAGTGATAAAAAGAGATATTTTAAATAGAAAAATATCCCACTTTTCCAGATCTTGTTGTAGATGATACTTGCTTACTATTCAGTCCCTCATCTTCCAGCTTTATATTGCAAAGGAAACTGCTCTTCTGCTTGAAATTCTTCCTGAGTCGTTTTGACTTGCACTGGACTTCAGTCAGCAAACCTGTGAGGTGTGAAGTGGCCATCAGTGCTTGCATTTTCAATTAATTGCAGTCTGAAGTCATCACTTTTATTAGAGATAACTCCAGTCTTGCATCACAGAAGCTGTCACCTATAATGAGCTATGTGTCCTAGAGAATGTGGCTGTGTGTTACTTATCAGGTGAGCTGATGTTCAGTAGCCACCAAAGGCCTGAGGGTCTGCAGGGATCTTTGTCCTTGTGGCTTTATGACACACAGGTATCAGAATTTTTTATCAAAGCCCATTGTGTCATTTTTATTTACATTTTTTCCTTCAAACTGTCAAGCTCATCTGATTTGCTCACTGCTATCCAGACAAAACTTAGGATATTTAGCTTATCTTGTTAGTACTTCCTTTTTTTTCCTTGTACTGTCTTTGACCAACAGCTCTCTTAAGGTGAGGGGGTACTTCCCAAGCATTGCTGGCTTCTGCACACCAAGATGCTACAGGTGCCACCATCCCCAAAGTTAAATTTTCCTACAGCCAAACAAAGCTTAGAGCAGCATCATCGGGGAGGGATTGACTTTGGAGAAGGTTTTATCTGTGGTGACTAGAGAAGAATCGAGCAGGAAGGAGCACTCACATTCTGCCAGCATTCCCACAGCTCTGCACTTCTTGAGGCGGCACTCCTGGCACTTCCTCCTCATGTACATGTCCATCTCGCAGTGCCCCCCGCTCTTGCAGCGGTACACGGCGTTCTTGGTGATGCTGCGCCGGAAGAAGCCTGGGAACGAGGACCAGGTCATGGCTGGGGCAACCGAAGGAACTTTATCTCACACAGGTATTTAAAAGGGTTTGAATCGTTGGGTTTTTCAAATGGAAACTTCGCCCTGATTTTAAATCTGATTTTTAAAAATATAGTTATGTCTGGTTCTTTCTGACTGGTATTAATCGACATTTTCCGTACATAGAATCATAGAATATGCTGATTTGGAAGGGACAAAGATCACCAAGTCCATCCCCTGAGCCTGCACAGACAGCCCCAAAACCCAGCCTGTGCATCACTGAGAGCAGTGCTCAAATGCTCCTGGAGGGGCTGTGCCCATTCCCTGGGGAGCCTGGGCAGTGCCAGCACCCTCTGGGGGAAGAACTTTTCCTGATATCCAACCTAAATCTCCTGGTACAGCTCCAGCCCTTCCCTCCAGTCCTGTGCCTGGTCATAGGGAGCAGAGATCAGAGCTGCCCCTCATGAGACAGCTCCCATAGCAACAAGTTAAAATATGATTAGCAAGTAATTACTACTTGCGTTTATTCACAGGTGAAATTAATAACATTGAAATAAATTTCTAAGAAATGTTCATGCGAAAACCAGCACCTGCTTAAGCTGACACTATTTTAGTGAGTCATCAATGCAAAAATGAGATGCTTGAAGTGCTCGTACTAAATACAGACTGTGAAAATATTTTTTCAAAGAATGCTACAAAAATGTGAATTTGGAGAAAGAGGGTTAGATAGGGGGTTCATTAGATAAATTAAAAGCCACTGTGGTAACACCAGCTCTAACCCCAGCCCAATCTGTCTGGGAGGTGGCACCGAGGCCCCGTGTCCCCGCTCACCTTTGCAGCCCTCGCAGGTCAGGGCGTTGTAGTGGTACCCCGAGGCCTTGTCCCCACACACCACGCACAGCTCCTCCTGCCCCTTCAGCCTCACCGAGTGGTTTAACCTGGGCCTCTTGAGCCCCTGGTACCCCCCATCCTCGCCGTGGGGAGCCAGGAAGGGGCCCTTGCTGAGCTCGCAGCTGCTGCCCACGCAGGGCCCATCATACGGCGGCTCCAGGCTGTAGGAGCCGTACGGGGCCGGGCCGGGCTGGGGCGGCAGGGCTGGCACTGGCACTGCTGAGTACTGGCAGTACGGGGCAGCCTGGAAATCCGTGTCCTGCAGCTGGTAGTTGATGTGCTCCGGTAAAACATCTGTTCCGGGGGAGATCGAAAGTGGAGTGAAAACCTGGAGAACATCTCAACATCAGCTGCTCCAAGGTTTAAAAATAGATTTAGTAGCATAAATAATAGAGGAACGTGTTTTCAGAGGTGCAATCTGACACATTCTATTTAAATTTAAACCTGTAGTGTTCATAAGTTAAATCTGAAATGTAGCAAAAATGGCTCAGTAGCAGTTTGGGCAATGTCATGCGTGTGACACTGCATAGTGTTAGTAATTAATTGAATATCACTTGCCAACTGATGGCACAGTTGCCTTCAGATCTTACACTTAAAGGTTGTTTTTATTAACTGTCAACACTACAGTCAAATACCTTCCACAAGTGAATTTCTTAATGAATAAAGTGTTTGTTACTGATACATATCGGAGACATCGTTTTGAAAACGTTGCACAAAGGTCTGTGAAAAATTGTGTAGAAATCAGAGAGTACTAAAAAATACTGTGACAGGGGTCTTAAAGTTGAACTTCAAAGGAGTAAAAAGTAAAGACTTGTTTTATTTAGTATTTTGCCACACGTTTCTTTACAGTTATGAGATTTTAATTTAGTAAAATGTAGGTACAGAATTACAAAGAGAGATTCTTCCTGCCTTTCTGTCTGTTGAATTTCAATTTTATCCAGCCTCCCTTAAATACACACTGCTATACCAAAGAAAGCCTGTGCAACATGCATCATGTTTCATTCTTCCTTTGGGATTATTAAAAAATCTCTATAAAACAAATTGGAAAGATTTTTTTAAAACTGTTTTTTTTCCCCTTTAGTGGGCTTTGGGTTCTGCCTTTAGTCTTCCAGAATCAAATTAGTTATTGTAATTATAGTTACATAAGATATAGGACAGGCGTTATCTATTTATAATGTATCTGGAATAGTGCAATAAAACCTGTGTCTTCTCCATGCAGGTCAAAGGGAGACAGAACTGGGGATGTTTATAGGGAATGCTCAGTCAGAATAATCCCGTTGTGCTCAAAAGCCTGTATGAGCACACAGTAATAGATTTCCATACACTTTCAGTAGGAGCTTGGTAAGAGCTTTCAAGTGCATTAATGATAAATTAAAATTAATAATAATAAAAAAAAACATTCCCCTGGAGTTCATTTTGCTGCATTTCCAGAGTACAAAACTTGCTTTACTCACCGTAGTACTGAATGGGCTCGGGAAGGCCGTACCCATCAGGGACGGTGACAAACGTGTTGGCCATGCTCTGCTCCCAGCTGCACTGCTTCATCCACTCTGCTGTGAGACCAGCCTCTAAAAAGCAACCTGGGAAAGGGGAAAGGAAGAGAAACACCCAGTGGGAAAGAATTGCTGGGAAGGTTATACACAGAGCCAGAAAACTCCAGGATATGGCAGAGTTTTCAGATCATAAGAAAATCAGATGTCTGTGTGAAGTCACACAACACCCTCAATGAGACTACAAAATGTTTGAGTGTCCTGATATTACAGATTCAGGGTAAAATTCTTTCCTAAGTTTCCAAGTTATAGTTAGAAATGTTTTGCTCTGAGTTTTACACAAAACCGTGTGGGGGAATTGGACTGGTAAATTCTTTAATTCAGAGAAGGTTAAAAGGAGCTTAACAGATAGAAAAAAACTTGCTTCGGGTTGGAATTGGATCATTTGCTCTGGTGTATATGTGAGGCTGTCCTGTTTGTGCACAAAGATGGGCTTTTACTGTGTTTATTTCATTCACTTTTTATGCAGAGTTGAAGCAAGGAAAATGGCATGGAAAGGCCAGCATGGAATATCTGTTCTTCATCATGTAAGTACTCATTTATGCATTAAAACTCAACTTTGCCCAGCTTAAGCACTGCCTGAATTATACTTACTGTGTTCCTTTAACGGTGTAAAGTTTTCAGTGAAGACCAAAATATTGATTTCCTACAGGATGTGCTGCCTCTAAAGAGCTTTCCACTGTTCCTTGGTCATTGAAGGAGCTGGGCTCCTGGCTGGATTCACTGACATTCCCAATAACAAAGTGCACTGAGAGCTCACAGTGACATGGTGAGAAGAGCTGTTGTGCATGGAGTTCAAAACTTAACTCATTTTTCAATTATTTGGCTTATAAATTCAAATTTAGAGACGTTATGAAGAAGTGTGCTTTAAAAACTCTTAAACGAGTTTTAGAGAAAAAAAAAAGTCTGTATGGACAGTGGCATGAGCTGGGTTTGAGTTTACACACCTACAGCAAACCTCTGGTGTTGCTCAGAATTGAGAGCTAACAGAGTAGCCATCAGAGGAGTAAGTAGGAATCTTTTCCTTGCCCCCTTGTCCCTCTGCATGAGTGGGATGTGGCCACAGGTTAAAGCTTTGCTCAGTCTGATGCCCACTGAGCAAGGGCTGTAAGAGACAATTTGCCCATGAACCACTCACAGGCTTTCCCTGAGCAGACAGAAAGGATAGAAAAGATGAAAAAGGCATGGAAGGATTTGGAAAATACAGCAAATCCAACTCCTTCAACAGAATTCTCTGCAGAATTTACAGCAAGTTTGGTTTAAAGATTCTCCCTGAAGGAAGGGGTTTGTGCTGTACCTGTACCTTGCTGCAGCTGAGACAATGAATGAATCACCCCAGGGAATCTGAAGTCCTGAGTGGTAAAACACACATCCCTTCCCCCAAAGGGCACAGAGCTTTGGGGCTGACCACTTTCACTTCGTGTTGTCAGCAGAAGGTGAAAGGATGCAGTGAGGCTGGAATGCTGGGGGTTTGTTATCTCTCCTAGTAAATATTTGTTTGAGAGCAAAATAAGTCACTGAATCATGAGGTCTTATCAGTTAGATCAATTTGGCCTGGGCAAAGTCTACATTTTTTTCCCAAAAATGTGTGTTTGCTGAAGAAATGTGTTTCTGAATTCCTGTGGTTTCTTCAAATAAAAGTCATAATTGAATAGTAGATTAAAAAATTACACTGATCCAGTCTAATAAAAGCAGTATATTGGGAGTATGAAGTACCAAATGTAAGGTGGTCAAGTGCTTAAACATTCTAAAACTTGGAAGCAGATTTTCCTTAGGCAAAGTTTCCTCAGCTTAGTATTGTATGAGAAAGGATTCAGCCCTTCTTACTAATTTTTGTGGCTAATAACAGTAACCGGTTGCACCTACAAAATTTCCAGCTTAGGCTGGACTTCATAAACTGAAATCTTAAATTAAGAGAATTAAGAGGATGTCAGAACAGTGGGAATAATAAATCTAATGGTTATCTGAGGAATGCTCTAGTGTCTTAGTATGAGACATGCATAAACACTAAGTTTAATTTTCTGACATTTGAGAATTTAGTGTTGACAAGCTTGTTCTTCTGAAAAAAAAAAAAAAAAGGAATTTAAAAAAAAAAAAAAAAAAAAAAAAAAAAAAAAAAAGAGAGAATAAGATATGTAGGGAAGGAACTTAATTTCCTAGGCCAGGGAGGTTTTGATTATTTATGAGTGACTGTGAGAGTTGTGTTTTCCAACCTTGGCCTCCCCCCTGGTGAGTGAGGCAGCAGCAGGGAGGTCTCCTCCAAACTGCTGCAGTCCCTGGGGTTCCATGAACCATGTGCTGCTCTCCCCAAGCTCTGTGGCCATCCCAAACCCCTCACACCTCATGGAACTTCCCCAGCCCTCACAGACACTCATTAACCTTAGCCAGGCAAGGGAATTCTGCACGTGCCCAGCACGGTGAAGCTCCTGACACAAGGTACCAGACATGCCCAGGTGTAATGTCCAAAGCAGTGACTGGAACAAAGCTGAAATAAGAATGGAGCAACAGGTTTGGATGTTTGGGGCAGTTGAAGCAGTGCCATTCCCAAAACAAAATGTTTTGTGTCCCTTTTTCTCTTTTCTGTATATTCCAAATATAACTTGTGCATGAGTGCTTTAAAAGGAAGCAAAAATCTTAATACATTCACAGAGAGGATGCATAAAGGTCTTTAGCCTAAAAAGCAGAAACAACCGGGAACAAAAGATGAATTTTAAATTACTTATTTTGTAGCATCCCAAGCAGTAACAGTCTTAGGGTGGGAGCCTTGAGCCCTGAGTCACAGAGACTGAGCTGACAGAAAATGTCATCTGTGTAAAGCACATGCTGTTCCTGCTTCTCCTTCTACTGCTGGGCATTTTCACTTGTGAAGTCCTGAGCAGGTGAGGGGAATGGTGTTTTTTGGAAAAGGTGACCTATGCTCAAGGTAGCTTAAGCACGTTTGAAAATGTGCTTTTACAGGCTTAGTTTTGCCAGTGCTCATCTTCTGAACTACAAATGTTCAGTATAAACCACAACATGTTGGTTCAAGGGCTTGGTAATTTAGTTATTAGTCCCAACTGAAAGGCTTGACAACTTATCAAAAATGGGATCCACTAAAGAAAAAAAAAAGCCATTGATTGATAGAAGTAAAGTAGAACTATAAATAGAATGTACACGTTCAGACTAGAATCTGAACTGTACATCTATTTATTTCTATTTATGGTGAAAGATGTGGGGTTTATCATTTTTATTGCTATAAAACCCCATATCATAAAGCAACATATCATCAACTTATCAAATTTATTGAGATACAAAACATCCTTCATGTAGCAAAGCTACAGGGAGCCCTTTCAGAGGCTGGGACTGACAGTGCTTTAGCTGCTATCGTAAATATTTTGACAGTTGAGTCATGGGGAAATTTCTTGTTTACAGGGAATTTTAGGAACTCGAGCTGAAGGTCTTCACCATCTATTTGGCACACCTTGGGCCACGTTAGTGGTCACGTAGTGGAACTCAGAGCACGTTTCAGGCTCAGTTTTAATTGCTGTACTTTGCTTGCAGCTGGAAGGCAAAGCTTGTTTTTTTATTTTGTGAAAATTTAAGCCAAAAACTGAAAAAAAATGTAACTGAGCATAGTCAGTGCCAAGTAGGTGTGATGCCAGCTAATCTATTTAATTTCACTCAAGCAATTCAGTAATCACTGCTTAATTAAAGAATGATTTTGCAGGGGAAATTGTAGGATCACTTGATTGATCCTGTATGCAGCTTACATGCATTATTAAAGGTTTTTCGGCTCTTCCTGGTTTTAATGTGCCAAGAAGCTCCCAAAAGCTCCTTTTTGAAGAAATGCCACTTTTCTTCTTATTAAATGTGTTCCTTCCTGGTTATTATATTCCATATAATAAACATAATAGGAACTGGCTTATTTTACCAATAGACTACATTGCAATAATCTTGACATTTTCCTTTGGAATTGTTATTCCATGAATAATTATTTCAAAAGCATAATTTTTATACATTCTAAAGTAAGAGGTTAGAGGTTGCTTGAAGCTCACTGTTTTCTGGGTACTTTGGGAAGGGAAAAAAATTATTGAATTTAAAAGTTGCTTTTCTTCAATCTGTGTGTCAAATGAAGTACTGTTGGAACAAACCCTTGGCAGTAGTAAATACCAGATTTAAAAGTGCACATTTGCTGTTTTCATTTAGTCAGATGTTTAAAAATAAAGAAAAAAGGAAGTAAAGAAGAAAAAAGCCTGGAATATTTTCACATGGCAAACTGAATTATAGCTTGAGCAGCAGTTTCTAACCTCAGAGCATGCAGAGAAGGGAATGAAATACTCACGGTGCTTGCAGGGAGCTCCTCTCCCGTGCCGGTCCCAGCTCTGCTCCAGCTGCAGCCCAGCAGGCCTTTCCCTATTTATCAGTTTGTGTGCACAGCCCGGGCTCCAGACACTCGGCAGAGCCACGCCGCGGCTCCGAGACACCAACTTCCCACACAGCTCCTCTGGGGTCGGAGCAAGGGCAGCTGCGAGCCCACATAAATCACAGCAGAACTGGGTCATCAGGGACAGAGGCCATGGGGACCCTCACGTCACTGCTTCCCAGAGTCCTCCCTGCCCAGCACGAAGATCCTGCTTTCTTGCTAGAATTCAAAATTCTCCCATTTTGGTTGCTTCACATTGACATGTCGGGGTGGTGATGGAAAATGTTCAATTCCCAATGGGGGAAAATATTGCAGTAGGACTATTTGGAGATTTTCGCATGACATAATAATTTAATTTGGAAAGGCTGGATCAGGCCAAGACCTCCAAACACCAAACACTTACCTTGTCCTCCATGTTCTGATTCAGACACCCCTGTGGCACACACCAGGCTCACACTCAGTTCATTGACAACCTCAGTGAACTTAACTTCACATTGCCATTAACTCAGCAAAATTTCCTTCTTAACTCCCTGAGTACTTCCATTATTAGTAACTTCTAATAAATTAATATTGCAATGTGATGTTTTCATTGTTTCCTAGGTAGATGTGACCTTTAGGATAGGGAATTTTCTTGTTAGGTATCATGCTGTTCCAGTGCTCCCAGCAAATCTCCTCACTCCAGGAGGAGCTCACCTGCCTTCTGTGTAAGATCAGTTCTCCATTCACCTCAGGAAAAACTGCTTCTGTTGGATACTGCATGGAATTAGATGGGAAAAGGAAAATGCAATTTCCTGTTGGGTAACTTACAGCAAAGTCACTTAAAATCCTCTTTTGGGACAGTAGGTTTTCATGGATAAATGGCCATCACCCTTCAAGAGAGGGACATAGTTCTATTCCTTGGGGTCCAGAAAAGAGCTGCCCTAAGGCTGCTTATTTCCATGTGCCATTTACAACTCTGTCTGTGGAGTGGAATGGTTGAGTATTTCAAGAACAAACAGCACTCACCAATAAATGTTATTTGAGCATATTATGGGGTTTTCTAAGTTTTCAGATGTCCTGCATTGATCACATGTGGTGATGGGGGACTGTAACACAGTGATTACACAGCAGAAATGAAGATAATGATGTTCTAAGCTTAATTATGGTCAGCACTTGTCTTTCTGGTAAAAGCAGCCTCATACAGAAACTTGACAAGTTGTCAAAAAAACTTCAATAGTAAAACTGAAGGTTTTACAATTGATATAACAAATATTTTTTTCACAGAAGCATCTCTTTCACAATATCCCATTGACTTTTTCATCCAGCCTTTCTCATGAAAGTTGAAAAAACAAGCAGAGGTTTGTGAAATTTTGTGGTTACCTTTTAAATGCTACTGAGTTTTATTTTTAGCATTTTTTTTCTGATAGAAGTCACCTTACTGATAAGATGTTCAAATTAGCTCTAGGATGTGGGTATTTAGAGCCTGTTGACTCCAGGGGAACTTAAGCCTGAAGCTCAGGTTTTTAAAAGGCATCAAATCCTCATTCAACTCAGTTTATAAAGCCTGTTGGATTCAGGGTAAAATCAGTTTCTAAAATCAGTATATAAATAAGTTTATAAAATAACCATATAAAAGTTGTAGTAGAAATTAATTGCAGTAATTAAATATTAGCCCAATGTTAATTAACTTCTACACTGTAGTAATGAAACTATTTTGTATAATCATGAAGTGATTCAGACCAGGTGACTGGCTAAATACATATATTTATGTAAATACAGATATTTACATTATTTTAATAAATCACTGCTCCTATTCAAAGTTTAGCATGACAAATATGGGAGACTTGAGGGCACATTTGAATCACCTAAAATACTGCTGCAAAGAAGAGGAAAATAAACTCTTTTCCATGCTTCTAAATAATCAAAACCCAGAAAGGTTATTTAGGAGTAAGGGAGATTTAAATTACAAACTAGAGAAAGCAATTACTGTGGTAAAAATAGCACTGGAGTGAGTTCCTTGTACTATCTTCTCCACTGGCTGTTTTGAAGATCAGTTTGGGCAACCAGATTGAACTCAGGAATTGTTTTCTCTGAGTTGCTTTGGTTTGTAAAGAGGACTTCTTGTAAAGGACTTTGGAAAACTCGCTTCCAGCTCTGTTTTCTGTTATTTTCCTATACATACATCAATTCTTAAAACACTGCTGAAGTTTCTGGTCAGTAACGTGCCCAGAGCTGCTTCAGTGGCAAAGGAAATAATACCAGACTCCAAGCTTGTTTTACTAGCAGTAAGTAAACAAAGTGTCACTCATAGATACGGCCTGAATTTAGGAGCTGAAGGAGTTCATGCCATGAGCCAACATCCAGAAGTGGCACTGAAGTGGGGAATAAGGGACACAAACGTTTTTCCACAGAAAAGAAGCAGATGTGGTGATAGCAGCCTGACCTGGACACTGCTGCAGCACTTGTGCAGCTTCACTGCCACCACTGCAAACTGGGAGCTCTGGGCAGCCAAATCCCCCTGGAGACTGGGCAGCTGGCTCCAAGGCTCTGGTGGGTGAGGGAGCTGGAGATGAAGGAAGAGCTTCCCTGGATCCATACCTGCTGACACAATCCATTTTCAAGGTAAGCACAATTCTTTGTTCATCTGGACTGGAGTTTCCACATGTCTGTGACTCATTTGGTAACTGAATAGTTAAAGGAAATTGCATCTACTCCAGCTGGATCTTCTCTACATAAATGACCCGTTTGGCTTGATCTGGTATTGGATTGTTTACGTAACTTCAGTAATTAACCACTATCAGCCTCATTAATGAAACATAAACCACCTCTTCTGCTCATTTATAAAGCATTTGTCAAACAAAACTCAAACAAAGGGCAGAATCTCAGCAAAGTAACAGCCCTCCAAGAGCTACTGAGCCCTGACTGCAAGGCACAGCAGTCACTTTGTTGTTTTTCAGTAGAACTGAAGCAGAAGTGATGGCATTGCCTATTGCTCTTGGCTAACTTCTCCTCAAGCCATCTGAGATCTGTCACATGAGGGCAAGCATGCCTGGACAACTATTTTGGCCACTTCAGTACAAAATACTGATGTTCCAGCTCATTACTGTAAATCATTAAATGATGAAAGCAAGAGTCAAATACTAAATGACTAAAGCCTTCAGAAAACTAATTGCTAATTACAGTAATTGTTGTTCTATGTGAGTTAAAGGTTACATTAAAACAATTATTATTTCATTACAGGATTAAATCTTTCCTGTTGGTAAACTGTTCTGAGCAATATTACAGAAAGTGAAGTATTAACAATACAGATCATGTATCAAAATGATCTAACCTAATCTTTACCTATTTTTGTGTCAGAGAAATAAAATTGTTCAGAGGCATAAAATACATTGGCAAATACATCCATGCCAAAATCTGAGAGATCTGAGACCTTGCATTCCCTTTCCAATTTGTTGAGGAATTAATAAAAAAACCCAAGTTTTCTGTGCCCCCTCTCTTCTATTATTTATAGATCTTCCAAAGGTTCAGGAATGCTGACACTGTTGGGATTGTTCTTCATGGGTGTGGATGAACCTCTCAGTCCCGGGTGAGAAGCAGCCCAAAGCCTTGTGAGTACTGATTTTGTCTGATGGTGTTACTTTGCACAGTGAACAGCTCCCATGTGGCACTGCAGAGAGATGTTTTTTAGTGTGAGATAATAGAAATACTCTTTGTTTTGCATCAAATGTATCAGACAAATACTCATTAGCAAACTGGACAAGAAATAACTCAGAAGATGCAATTTTTTGTTAAATTCTTAAATGCTTTTGTGGGGTTAAATGATGAAATAGCAGGCCAGAAAGGAAGAACAATATCAATCTTTTTAAGACTAATTTTTTTCTTAATCATGAAGTTGTTGGATAGTTTCACCTTGAATTTTCTTACAGGTTTGTAAGGCCAGCCTTGAAGAACTAAACATTATGTGAAGTTTCAGTCCAAGAGCCAGACTGCCTTAAACTCACCTGAAAGTCTCAGGACGGCCCACAAAATGTTACTGTTTCTCCTGTTTATTCTCTTAAACTTAATCTGCAGTGGCTGAAGACAGAGTAGGTACAATAAACCCATCCATTCAACCTTCACAAAGTTCCTGGGTATCCTAACACCTCCCCCTTTCAGTTCCCTCTGCCAAAACTGTTTCCCCTTGGCTGGAAGACCAGATTTGTTAATCAGATACTCCAGCAAGACACAAAGTGGAAGAAAGCAAAACTATCAATTAAGTTTGATTACAATCCCCAGAGTTGGTAGTTCATAGAGAATACTCCTAACTACAGGCACTGCAGTACTTTATATGTACAGCAAAGGGAAGCCAAGACCTCATTTCCATAAAGCAGATCTTGACACTCTATGTTAAGCATTACAAAATAATTATTCTGGAATGCCTTGCTCAGCATTTTATCAGCAGTGGTCTTGCTGCTGAGACTGAACTAACTGGATGTATCCATTTATCAATGATAATGTTTTTCCTTTTTTCCAGCCTGGATTCCATCTTGAGGACATTTGTTTTAACAGTAGAAAGAATATTAGACTCATAAGTGTGAGTGCTGTGGTGCAGTGGGTGACTCCTCAAGATTTATCAAAGCAAGATAATTAGTATGAACAATAAGACTGAGTTCCTTGGTAATAATTCTTGTCACAGGACAACTCTGCATTATCCCACTTTAATCTACCTTGAAGTATGGGCTGGGAAGTGCAAGAGGAGGATTCCTTTGGGCTCCTGGCCCGTGAGTCTCTGTGCTACACTTTTGTTGAAGGCAAAACCAGTGAAATTGTGACAGTAGCTGAGAGCTTGTCTTAACACTACCACTTAATTTTAAAAGCAAGCAGTCAGAAAGTGTTGGGGTGTGTGGTGTGAGAGGGGGCTGGTTTGCTTTTTAAACAGCTGTAACTGCTGAAATAGTTGGGTTTTGAAGGAAGGGCTTCTAATGGAAATGAGAATTGTCACATTCCATTTTTAAAAGCTTGTGCCCAGCTGCATCACCATGGGAGACTTTTGCTTTCAGACACTTAGCCACAATGTTTTTACCTGTGCTGACCACACTTACAATTAATATAATTTTACTGAAAATCCAAGAAGTATTCTAAAGATTTGCCCTTTATTCTGTTCTCTAATTCC